GGAGGAGGAGGAGGAGGAGCGAGGAGCGAGGAGCGAGGAGCGAGGAGCGAGGAAGATGAGCGAGGAGGAGGAGGAGGTTCAGGGGGGATGCATCGACCCCCCATCGCCCATTGATCGGCACCAGTGGGCCGAATGCCACCCTGCCTAGGAACGTGCGTATCTGCTATTGGGGGTCCATCGCCGATCTGTCGGCGGTGTATCGCTGCTCCCAGCTCGATGTTTCCTCCCCTGCAAGGCGCCGTGAATGTTATGTAAATCCTCCCTCCCCTCCTCCCTCCTCCTCCTCGTCCTCCTCCTCCTCCTCTTCCTCCCTTGTCCCCCACCCCTTATCTGACGTCTCTCCTTCTTCTTCTCCTTGTCCTCCTCCTCCTCCTCCTCCTCCTCCTCCTTCTCCTCCCTTCTCCCCACTATCCAATGCACCTCCTTCGTCTTCTTCTTCTTCCTCCTCCTCCTCCTTTTCCTCCTCCTCCGCTCTCCCCCGCTCTCCGCTTTGTCCACTTGTAGTCCGTCGCTTTCCGTAGTCAATTCGTCCCAGGCGAAGCTTGCGGGCCCAGGTCTTGCCCGCCATGGCAGTGTAGACTGAGGGTCCCGCCGTGCCGGGCAAGCATGATGCGCGAATTCTCTACGCCCAGGGGCACTCCGTTGTCCTCGACGGCCTGTTCCCGGACCTGGACATCCAGCTCGAAGAGCGTGGGCATGCTGCTTGACTTGTCTTCGCCCGGGGCCGCGGCGTGGCCCTCGACGCCCTGCTCCAAGACCTGGACACCGGGCTTGAGGAGGAGAGGCCCCGCGAGCCCCACGAGCCGCGAGATGGCCCGCAGCTCGAGCCTGCCCCAGATGAAGTCGGTCCACGAGGGCGCCGGTCACCTCCGCGCGCAGAGCACGGGCGCGCTGCACAGGAGCAAGACCGGTGGCCTTCTCGGCGGGGTGTCCACCAGCGCCGAGGCGCTGAACGCCCAGTCTCAGCAGGACTCGGCGGCGAAATCCGATCCCCACTCTCGCCGATCAACGATTCAGGCCACTCGACGGGCGGCGGGGGTGTGGCTTGGAATCCGTCGAGCTATTCTTAAGTCGGGCACGTCCCTCTACAGGAGGAATATTTACAAATAGTAAGAAATAGTCGGGGGACGATTTTGTGAGCACGTTTGCGCATTTTGTGCATATTTTTAGAATTTTTTTCCGTCCAGAATCCCCCCTGTAGGAGGACACGCCCGACCGAACCCCACCCCCGCCCCCCGCCTCCCATCGACTCGGGAGAATCGGTGGCTGGTGGGCACTCTTGCGCGTAGCCGATAAAGGACCTCCTCAGGCTGCTCGGGGAATGCAGGGGCGAGGCGAGTCTCGTGCGCTCGACGGTCTCGGGCAAGGAGGGCAGCCGACCCGTGGACGACCACGGGAAGGGGGGCGCCACCAGCGACAGCTTTGCGGACCTGCTGGACGATGCCCTGGAGAGGATCGCCGCGCTGAGGCGCACCATGGACAACTTCGACCCCAAAGGAAACAGCGGTCTGCGCAACAGCCCCTCGCCGCTCGCGCTCCAGCGCGGCAGGGCGGGCGACCCTGGCATGTCGCGCGAGGACGCAGAGCAGTTGCGAGGTCGCCTCGAGGCCTACAAGATGGGCCGCAGGGCGGAACCCGACCTCCCGCCGCTGCAGCCGAGCCCCCCGAAGACGCCGAAAAAGCAGCCGGAGACGGACATTCTTCTGCGCAACGCTTCGCCGGAGGCCCTGAGAAGACAGTCCCTGGACTCGAAGAAGCTTCAGCTGCACAAGCACGCTCAGCTGCAGGATTTGCGAATTGAGCTCGCCGTGGCCAACCGAGTGACCATCGTGGACGCCAGGGCCCATGTCATCCAGAAGAAGCTGGAGCAGAAGACTCAGCAAGGCGCGAGGGCCGTAGCGATGCGCCGGAAGAACCAGCCGAAGCTTCAGCAGGACGGGCGCGACCTGCGGAAGGACCAGATGCTGGAGAAGTGGTCCACAGCCTGCGTCGTCGGCGCCTTCGCCCGGCAGCTATTGGAGGAGCTCCGCGTTCGTAGGATGTCGGACAAGGAGCGCATGGAGTACATGGCGAGGACGGGGCCATTCAGCAGGATGCACGGGCCGAATGCGAGCCGCTTCATTCAGAATGCCGTGGTGCAGTCCCAGAGCATCCAGGAAATGCACTTGGCGCCCAGCGGCCTTGTGAGGCTGAGCGAAGTGGCCACGCGGCTACAGTACCAAATGCGCCGACATCGGAAGCAGTCGCAGGCCAGTTGCATCGTAGCGTGCCTGCAGGCATGGAGAGTGGCTGGGCGCACCTTCGTGACCCTGAAGCAGTTCGCGCGGCGCGTGGTGAAGATGCAGCAGTGGTGGCGCAGAATGAGCGCGCACTTGCAGGAGGTCCGCGACAAAGTTGCGAAGCGCTGGGAGCGCCTCGAGATGGAGCCGGTCGAGCGGGAGCTCAGCAAAGCCGGGCGACGCCATCGCGCGGTGGTTGATCCGCGTGCTGCGCCGGACGACCGCGCGAAGGTGACCAGGACCCCCGAGGACATCCGCAACAGGTTCGTGGAGTACGAGTTGAGGGCCCGCCGCTACGCGCTGCTCCCGGCGATCCGGTTCTTGCGGATGCATATCAGGGAGGTCAAATTCTTACCCTGGTCCGGAATCTGGTTTAATCTGGCTTTATCCCGCTTGATCTGGCTGAATCCCGTTCAATCCGGTTTCATCCCGCTTAATCCGCGGCCTAATCCTGCGTAGCAGCCCCCCAATGGGGCTACTCCTCTTAAATCCTTCCGACGAAGACCTCCCAGTAGTTGCCTCCTAAGGTGCTGGGAGGAGGACTTGGCCCAGTGGCGCAGCAGCTGGCGGAGCTGGTCGGCGGATCGCGAGGCGCGCCGCGCTCTGGGGCTCGAGGGCACGGCCATCCCAGCGCCGCTGGCAACGTGGCCTCCAGTGAGGCCTGGCGGCGCGCACAAGGGGTACCCCGCAATGACTTTCTTCCCCATAGAATCTACGACGAAAGCGTCGGTTTTCGCATATCGACTCAGAATTCTAAGTACTTTCCTGTAGATTCGACGAGAAACAAATTTTAGGGGACATCAGTTCTGTAGTCGATCCATCCCCTACTCGAAGGGTGGTGGCGCGAGAGGGGGGTCGGCCTGCCCAAGCAGGCGGGGGGAGCTTCTAAGGAGGCCAGTGCCTTCTTCGAGGCCCTCCTGGCTTCCAAGAAGCCTCCGGGCCCTTCTAGGGAGCGAGCCACCTTCTTGGATGGCCACCCCCCTCGCGGCAACCCCCTCCTGCGCGCCGCCACGAGGCCCACGTACCTGCCGAAGGCCCACCTCCCCCAGGAGCGGACTCGTGGCTGCGAGTGCCCGACTTGGTGCCCAGGAAGGGTTGGCGACGAAGACATCCTCGACATGCGGCGCCGCTGCCGCACGAGCCCGGGGGGGCAGGGCGGGTGGATGAGGATTGCGGTGGAGAAGGGCTCTGTTTCAGGCTCCAGGGCAGCCGGCGGAGCCGTGGAGAGGGGCAGCAAGGGTATCGCGGAGGAATTTGCCGCAGATCCAGGGGCGCTGCCGCGCGGGCCCGCCGCTGCGTGCAGGGTGGGCGCCTGGAGAGGGGGGGGAATGATGGGCCTGTTTTCCACCACCACCACGATAAGTTGGAGGGGGGAAGGAGGTGGAGGAGGAGGAGGAGGAGGAGGAGGAGGAGGAGGAGGAGGGAGGAGGAGAGGAGGAGGAGGGGGGAGGGGGAGGAGGAGGGGAGGAGGAGGAGGAGGAGGAGGAGGAGGAGGAGGAGGAGGGAGGAGGAGGAGGAGGAGGAGGAGGAGGAGGAGGGAGGAGGAGGAGCCCCTGCCCCTCCAATTTATGGTGGTGGTGGCGGAAAACAGCCCCCTCAGGGAAGGCGCCCGAGTGCAGGGACTCGGCCAGCAGGACTGCTCGCCTGTCGGCTCCTGAGGCGTCGGGGGGATGGCTCCGCGGGAAGTGCAGAAGGCAAGCCAGAGGAGCAAGATGTCATGATAAGGCTGCGTTCTGTAATGTCCAAGGCTTTCAGGATCTCCAGATGCTCCTTAATGCTCCGCACGGCCCCCAGCAACGAGGGCTGCCAGATCTACTCCCTAGTACTTCCTGGAACGCTCCTATCCTGCGCGGGTCGCACCCTGATATCACCCCCGCCCCCACACAGACTCGCGAGGGCCCCGACGCGCACCGGCCGCTGCAAGCGCGGCGGCGGACCACGAGCACGTGGAGGAGGAGGAGCTCCGGCAGTGGGGCTGCAGCGCGGACCGGCTCCCGAGCGCCAGCAAGGAGCCGCCGGGCCGCCCAGCCAGGTAGCCCTGAGCGCGCGTCCCTGCGCCGGCACTGGCCCCCACACCGAACCCCAGGTCCTGGAGGCAGGAAAGGGGTATGGCATAAAGGGGTGTGGCGCTAATTTCATGTAAAGGGGAATCTGGCGATGTTTTTTATCGCAGACAGCATCGCGCTTTCCACGATTGGCACCGTACCCCCTTTATGCCACACCCCTTTCTGACCTCCAAACTGGTATGCAACGTCCTGGAACAATCAAGGCGGAGGTTTTTCGATTTTCTAGGGAGACGAACCAAGACATAAGCATAACAACTCGGAGGTCCGCGCGGATTTCTCGGATCGGCGCTGGACTCCCCTGGCCGCGCCTCTGGCGCCGCCCCTGGCGCGCTCCGCGCGCCAGGGAGGGGGGTCCAGAGCCGATCCGAGAAATCCGTGCGGACCTCCGATGTTTATGTTGCGTCATTGTTCGTCCCCCTATATTTTCGGCTTCTGGAAGCCCTTACCAGGCCCCAGGACCGTCGAACAACAGCTGGGGATGAAGCCCTGGCCCTGGGGGAAGGTCGGGCCGAGCGAAAGGGGGGGATAGGGAAAGGGGGGGTTATGAAATCTGCTGCATGCAGCAGGTTTCGGCCCCGCCGCCGGGCCCACTCCTCGATACATGGGCGCCTCCCGGCGCCGGGAGGCGCCGGCAAAATCAGGCACGTGAGCTGATTCTCAAATCCCCCCTTTGCTATCCCTCCCCTTTCGCCCGGCCCGAGAAGGGTAGGGACTTCAGGGGCCGCGCCGGGAACAAATCAGGACATCGCATGCCTGGGGCTGGCCCGCCCGGGCTGCGCCCCGAGGGCTATCGGCGGGCACAGGGCGCACCCCCCGCGGGTCTTGCAGGCAGCCTGTGTGTCCCAGCTGCCTGCTGCAAGCTCCCCTGCAGTTCAGCGCTCTGGCTTGAGCCGCCGGGGGTCTTGTACGCCTCCTCCCCTGTCTCGGGGGTGGACAGAACCTCCACCCTGACACGTCGATTGAATTGCCCATTTTCGGTTCTCGAGAGTGCGCCGCGGCCGTCATTTTCCAGGCTTGCGCCCGCCAGGTTTGGGCCCGAGGTCGTTCTCACTAAACCACGTTTTACTAAAGGGGGTTATGTCCATCCCTGGCTGTCCGCAGCGTTGCTCTCCTCTTCCTGCATCGTTCCTCCTCCATCCTCCCCTCTCACATTTGAAGGCGCAGGCTTAGTGGGAGCCTCGTTAGGGCGTCTCGGAGCTGTCTTGGGCGCGCTGGATCCACCGAGCTCTCCCGAATGTGCTCGGTCGAACTCTCTTGGGGGCGTCTTGGCGTGCCCCGGGGCAGTTGTGGAAGTTCTCTTGGGCCGTCTTGGGGAGCTCTCGGGCAGTCTCGTGGCCGTATGGGTGCTCTCAGGGGAGTTCTGAGCGTCGTGGAGGCCTCTCGGGGCTCTCTGCAGCCGTCTGGGTGCTCTTTGGGGAGTTCTGAGCGTCTTGGAGGCTTCTCGGGGCTCCCTGCAGCTTTTTCCAGGTGTCCGAAGCAGCAGAAGGTTCATAATCACGAGCGTTGTTTTTTCATGATTCCCCAAAGTGCTTGCACTTAGTTGGCGAGTTTTTGCCACGTTGCCGCCCTTGGTTGCCTCGTGGCCGCCCCGTGCGCTGGGTGGGTCCGGCGGGATTTCGCCACGTTGCCGCCCGTGGCCGCCTCGTGGCCGCCTCGTTTTTGCTCGGTGGGTCCCGCGGGGTTTTGCTACGTTGCTGCCCGTGGCCGCATCGTGGCCGCTTCCAGCTTGCACCACTACAGCTATCGCGCCACATAGCTTGCACTACATCTGATAGCTCACACATCCACGGTTCAATGACTTACTTTTTGGGGTCCACGCGGGCTAACATGTTTTTCAATCTTTGTCGCCTCGTCGCGCCCCGCTGGATGTCTCTTTTGCCGCCTCGTGGCCCGCGAGGTTTCGCCACGTTGCCACCCATGGTCGCCTCGTGGACGCTTCCAGCTTGTACTACGTATATTCTCTTTTCTGAAAGATTATTCGGATCCCTCCAGACTTAGCGGGCAGCCTGGTCGTATTGCAATTTACATATGATTTTGTCCCATCGTCCACTCTAAATCTGACGTCGTAAAATTCCAGGCAGGCCGGTATCGCCCCCCCTCATCCTCTGCAGAAATATTGTGCGCGCGCACTCGTGTATCAAAAATCCGCAGTTCAAGACTTCGCCGACCCTGTCGGCGTTTGTGAGGGACTTTTCCGTTCGAGTCGGGCTTTTCCGTTGGAGTCGTCGTCTCCGTCCTACTCTGTTCCTTTTGCCTGGGCCCTCTTCCTCATGCGCGCCGTCCCAAGCAAAATTGAACAACATCGGAGTGGAATCGAAGGAACACCCCTTCCCTTTGGTCCCTTCCCCGCGCCGGGGGGGGGGTGTCCCGGACGGGTCCCGGGGGTGTCCTGGGGGGGTCCCAGGGGTTTGGGGAGGTCCTGGGGGGGGGGTCGCCGCCCAGATCTTATTCCCCCCGCGCCCCAGCCCCCGCTCCGGCCCCGGCCTCGGCCCCGCGCTCTGGCCCCGGCCCCGGACCCAGACATCTGGCTCCCAGCCTCGGGCCCCAGCCCCGGCCGTGGCCCTAGCCTCGGCCCTCGGCCCCAGCCCTGGCCCTGGCCCCAGCCGTGGCCCCAGCCGAAGCCCCGACAGAGCCCAAGAAGCTCCCAAGAGAGCCCCAAGGAAGGCTCCAGAGCGTCAGCGTCGTCGCCGCTGCCGCCGCCGCCGCCGACGTCGTCGTCGCCGTCCCCCTTCAGGGTCGGCAGCAGTGGCCGCTGGGCCTTCCCAATCCCTTGCAGAAAACGGGACAAAGTGCACATGCGCGCGTCGTCGCGCGCGCATGCCGAAAACCTTCAGACAACCCTCGATTTCGCAAGGATTTCAAGATCGAGTGTCCCGAACACACCTTAAACATTTTTTCGCAAGAAGAATTTCAAAAAAGCTTGCGCTCGTTTTTTTTCTCTCATTTTTTCAATTTTTTCAGAAGACCACAGGCTTCTCAACATGTTCACAACTTGCTACCATGCGGGCCTCTCGCGCCCGCGTATCGGAATCGCTCGGACGTCCTTGCGCGCGTGCTGTCGCAAGAATCCCTTTCAACATATGGGACGAAATGTACACACGCGCGCGTCGTCGCGCGCGCATGCCGAAGTCCTTCAAAGACCTCAGGTTTCGCGAGGATGTCAAAATCGAATGTCCTAAACCATATAACAAAAACACATGGTTTGGCAAACATGCCTGCGCTCGCGCTCCTGCGAATTCTTAAGACAGCCAAGATTCGTGTTTTTTGTTCGTTTCTCAAGCATTGTCTTTACGTTCGGCCAAACGGTCCTCTCGCGCCGCACGTTGAAATCATTCGAACGCCCTTGTGCGCGTGCTGTGGGTGGGGGCGCGATCCGTATCAAATATATCCATGCGGGCCACTCTCGCGCGTCTGCCGCGCGCGTATGTCGAATTCCCTCCAAAACCTTCATCCCGACGCGAGGGCGCCGTTATCGTCGTCGGCGTGATCATCATCGGCGCCGTCACTGACCTTGCCGTCGTCGCTGTCATCATCGTCACCAGCATCGCTACCATCATCATCGCATATACCGTTGCCGACGGTGCCATGATGCAGCGTCCGCCCAAATCGCCGACTCGCACTGAAGTGCCTGCTGGGAAGTGCCCAGCGGTCAGCGCCACCACGGCCGCGTCGGTAGCGCCAAACTATCTGGCCGCTGCGCGCGCGCATGCGCGGGCTAGCGCGGCCGCAGATGTGCACCAGTCAACTCCAAGCACTCATCGCAATCGCCTCCGCATGGGTTTTGCAAACTAATTTGTGGGTGTGTGGGTGGGATGATTGCGCGAGCAGTTGAGCGGACAACTCGCTGCGAACAGAAACTACTGCACCACGTAGTTTACACCACATCTCACAGCTCACACGTCCACAGTGCAATGACTTTTTTGGGGGGGTCCGCGCACGGTAACATGTGTTTCAATGTTGATCGCCTCGTCGGGCCTCGCTTGATGTTTCTTTTGGCGCCTTTTGGAGGCCTCGTGGGGCCTCTTGAGGCATCTTGTGGGGATCTTGGGGCATTTGGGACTTCGTTGGGACTTCTTTGGATGGTCTTGGGGTGTTTCGAAGCTGTTTTGGAACTGTCTTTGGCTGTCTTGGGGCCGTCTGGAGGCAGCTGAGAGCGCTGGAGGGCAAAACCAGGGGGTGCAATCTTCGGACCACGCGCGCGCGCGGGTAGGGGAGGGATTGTCCTTACAAGGAACGGACAAACCTTACCAGACAGCATACAAGCAATTCAACACGCCCCTGAGTGCCGCTACAGTCAACCCGCATAGTAAGGATGGGCAACCTTCGCACGGGTACCCTTGCATCCTTGCCTCCTCGGCCCATCCTTGGCCACTTTCGTTGGCCGCGCCCCGCTCGAATAGCTTCGAAATGGGCATCCAAGGCCCTTGCATCCTTATCGCGCATCCTTGTTATCCTCGTTTACTGTACAAGCAACTTAACACGCCCCTGAGTGCCGCTAACACGGTGGCGGCTCGAAGGCTAACAAGCGGCACAAGCAGAACCTTCCGGAGGTTTGCGCGGATTTCTTCGGCCGACGCCGGACCCCACTCCCCGCTACCCCTCTGGCGGCGCCTCCGGCGCCGCCCCCTCCGGCGCGCCCCGCGTGCCAGAGGAGGGATGCAGATCCGCTAGGGGCCACGTGCGAACCCTACCCCTACCCACCACGATTTCTGAGGGGGAGGGTGGGGTTCACGTCGTTCGGGAGCTCCCGAGCGAAGTGAACCCCACCCTCCCCCTCAGAAATCGTGGGGGCTAGGGGTAGGGTTCGCATGTGGCCCCCTGTCCGTGCCGACAACCAAAGGTCTATATGCGCATGTGGTTCTTGCAGGTCCCCTGATCCAGGCGGTGTTCTACGATGCTGAGAAAAGTGGCTGAGCGAAGTCGGAAGCGGGAACATATACACATCACCAGTGGCGGGCTGTTCGTCAGCCGGACTTTTCCGCAGGTTCGGGGACGGCGTCGGGGCGGTGTGGTGCATATTTGTTATCCTCCGTTTCCCGGGGGAACAACGAAAGAAGTATACATCAGGATCACGTGTACACCAGGATCCGCTTTCTTGTGCAAGTGTCAGCGCAGGGCCGGGAAAAAGCGTCGGTGTATAGAGTTTGTTTCCTACTCAGGGCAGGCTTCCCGCAGTACATTTTAAGCGGTGGCTTATTTTTATAGGTTCTGGCAGCTGGAGCGGCGCGAGTCTGGCCGATGCCAAGCTGGGCAAGGCATGGGCAGCGCAGCTGGCCATGGGTAGTTCGTGACTTCTTTGGCATAGGTTCGGCCCCTGATTCGTTACGAGCTGGCCCGGCTGCACCTTGTTTCTCGTTAATTATGCCGCTGCTGTTGTCTTCTCTCTCTGTTTCTCTCTGTCTCTCTCTCTGTCTCTCTCTCTCTCTCTCTCTCTCTCTCTCCCCCTGCCTCCGTTTCTGTCTCTGTGTCTGTGTCTGTGCCTCTGTCATTGTCTCTGTTTCTGTCTGTGTCTGTGCCTGTGTCTTTGTCTGCGTCTGTTTCTGTGTCTGTGTTTTCGTCTTTGTCTCTGTCTCTGTTCTCTGTTCTCTGTTCTCTGTTCTCTGTCTGTCTGTCTGTCTGCCTGTCTGCCTGTCTGCCTGTCTGCCTGTCTGCCTGTCTGTCCGGCCCTCTCCCTCGCTCTCCAACCAGTGCTTGCACTCGGGGCTCGCCCCTTCGGCCTCTGAGTCATCGGGTGCGCCCGCCGAGGCCTCGCCACGCTTCTGCCCGTGGGCGCCCCGTGGGCGCCCCGTGCCCTGGGCGGGTCCGGCGAGGCTTCGCCGGGGTGCCCGCCCTGCGGGCGCCTCGTGCGCTGGGCGAGCCTCGCCCGGTGCCCGCCCGTGGGCGCCTCGTGGGCCTCCTCCTCCTCCTCCTCGCTCTCCCCCTCCTCGCCCTCCTCCTCCTCCTCCTCCTTCTCCTCGTCCTCCTCCTCCTCCTCCTCCTCCTCCGCGAGCTGGGGGCGCCCTCCGAGGTCTCGCCTCGTGCCCGCCCCTGGACGCCCCGCGGGCGCCTCGTGCGCGGGGTGGGAGCGCCGAGGTGGGTGCCTGGTGCCCGCTCGTGGGCGCCCGGGGCCCGCTTGTGGTCGCCTCGTGGGCGCAGCGTGACTGACACAACACGCTTGCACTGCACAGCTTGCATGCAGCATGGCTTACCCCGCATGGCTTGTGCGTCGTGGCTTG